CCTGAAATATTTCAGTTAGTGTGCAATGAATCTAAAATATATGAATGTTAAATTTTCATCATGACATTATGGAAAATAATGAACTTTATCACAATATGCTAATATTTTGAGAAGGACCTGTACATAGTAAACTCACAGCCCTCGACACATTCCTTATCAGCACAGCTAATTGACAATGCCTGAAAATTGAGTGGTGTAAAATGGTAAATGGACTGAACTTATATAGCGCTATTCCAGTCATACAGACCACTCAAAGCACTTTACACTAGAGCCACATTCACCCAATTGCACTCACTAACGCTCACACGTTCATACACCGATACGTAGATCAGTAGGCAACTTGAGGTTAAGTGGCTTGCCCAGGGGAACATCAACATATGGCAGGAGGAAGCTGGAACCCACAACCTTCTGTTTGCAAGACAACTACTCTTCCTACTGAGCCACAGTCGTGCAAAATTTTATCTTTGTGTGTACACACTGCTTTTAAAATGTCTGGTTTTGCAATGGTTTAAATTTGACTGGGAAAAAACACCAACGTTTTCACCTTTCATTTTCTTCTAATGAAGTAATTATTCGGTCGATTTGAATGTACATTTGAACTTACTCTGTTGTTGAAAACTGAAATTAGGTTTCTTCTTCTGCTTTAAGGTTTAAGACCCTTTAAGGTTTTAGGTTAAAATTGACTGGTATTTTCAACTGTTGATTTAATTCATTAAAAAAAAAAACAACAACATTCCATCTTAGATAAAGCAAATGGGCCTTATTTAACAAAAAATTTAGATTTAATTCATAAAAAAAAACAACAACGTTCCATCTTAGATAAAGCAAATGGGCCTTATTTAACAAAAAATGTTTCACACCATAGGTTTGCATAATACATGCTTTTTTGAGATACATGCATTTCTATTTGTGCTTTGTAACATACGTAAATAACTATTTTATTTTTATGCTCAGTGCTCCTTAACTCTACCTAGCCATGTTCTTCGGGTATACAGCAGAAACGAATCCCTTGCAGCATATATAACATGATGGTGGTCTTCCCTAATTATGTTGCTGTTTTCTTTCCAAGCTCCCTGACTAATTCATAATCTAACCAGTGGAATTCCCATGGATATAGTTCAGAGTCTTGAGTGGTTAGCACCAATTTACTGAAACCAAGCCGAGGAATGGCCACAGAGCACAGCCTTGAGAAACCTGTCCAACATGTTGTAAAATATGGTGTCAGTTTTTACCCCTAATCTCATGGAGGTCTTCCTGCATGGCTGTTTGGGATAATTAGCTCTGCTGATATTTGGCAAAATAAGATAAGATAAGATAAGATAAGATAAGATAAGATAAGATAAGATAAGATAAGATAAGATAAGATAAGATAAGATAAGATAAGATAGACTTTATTGATCTCACAGTAGAAAAACTGTCTAATCAAAGAACAAGGTAAATGTGCAAAAACAAGTAGTAATAATAGAATAAAAAAATAAAAATAAATTAAATTAATTATGTACAGTAAAACGTGGAGGTCATTTGTGCTAAAGTGACAATGATTGCAGGTATTTACAAATACAAAGGTGGTTGCGCTAGTTATTATATGGTGGAATTTGAACAGTCAGACAGCAGTGGGGATGAAGGACCTGCAGTAGCGCTCCTTCTTGCACTGAGGGTGTCTCACTCGGCCACTGAAGGAGCTGAGCTCTACAGTCCGGTGCAGTGGGTGAGAGGTTTTGTCCATGATGGATGTGAGCTTGGCTAAAATTCTCCTCTCACCCACCACCTCCACAGAGTCAAATGGGCAGCCCAGGACAGAGCTGGCCCTCCTAATCAGCTTGTTCAGTGTCTTCCTGTCCCACTCTGTTCTGCCTGGGGCCCAGCAGACGACAGCGTAGAGGATGGCAGAGGCTACCACAGAGTCGTGGCTTCTCTCTTAGAAAAGCTATGTACAGCAAATAAGGGGAATGTGAAAATAGAAACAAATTGTAAGACAATTTACAGACATAAGAACTCTTGTGAATTAAACACTTTTCTTTCAATATCTGGTGGTCTAAGACCCTTGTATTAAAATATCGCTCAACAGCCCCCTGAAAAAAATGTCCCCACATTCCCCACTCCTACTCAAAGAACATTTTGGGCGTCACAGCAAATACTTCTCTATATTCCTATGGCCTTTCGTTCTTGTTATTTTATGTGTTTTAAAGTTGTCTGAACAAAAAAACACATCATCCTTTTAGCCTGAGCTCTTGGTACCCTAAAGTGCTCTTGATCTTGCTTCAAAGAATAACAAAATGTATAGCAAATAAGTATCTCTCCATATTGCCAAATTCTACTGCCGTGAAATGTTTCTAGCCTGCCCTGTGTGCAGACACTAATTTATGTCTGACTCTATGCCCCCTGACTCTGTAGAAATGCTTTTAAAATAGGAAACCCAGCTGAATATTGGTCTTCAGACAGCAGGGGACTGCAGCTCACATGAGACTAAAAGTCATTTCTTAGCGCTTTGGGCTTTTATTGTATGTGACATTACTGTCACTGCTACTGTTTTCTCATTCACTACAGCATGCCAGTAACTGTACTTCCTAAAACATGGTTATCAAGATTTCTGCTACTGCTGTGACCAGTCTCCAGTAATCTTTCAGTTCCCTGAATATGGAGGACATCATAAACTTGCATCATGCTGCCAACAGTTTGATGTTGAACAATAAAACTGCGGCTATCATTTTTAGATTTGCAAAATCTATTGATTTCAAACAAATGTAAGAGTTAAGATTATTTATGTAATTACTGTGGCTTCCAAATGTATTTGTATACCTTGAGCATGTCTAAATTTTTTCACATTACAACCACAAACCTCAGTTAGTTCTATTGGTATTTTGTTTGATGGACCAACACAAACTACTGCATACTTTGAAAGTGGAAGGAAAATGAAACACGGTTTTCAAAGCATGTAAGCGACAAAGCAAACATGTGGAAGAAGAAGGGCTTTGTTTTTTTTTTTCCTTCTATTTTAACGAAAAGGAAAAGAAAAGAAGCAAAAAAGAGAGAGAGGTCGGACTATAAGGAAAAATGGAGAAAAGGAGAAAAGAATAGAGGAGAGAAAGAAAGGTGCATAATGGATAACACCCTAGAAGATTGCTTCTGCAGAAACATATATAGACATGCAGACTGCCCCAGCACCAGCACAGACTAGTGCCGGCACCGCCCGAACCTGAACAACCCGCCCTCCAGGCACCCACCATCCCCCCACAACCACACAAACACACACTCAGCCAATCCAAATGCCGATGACCACACATCCAGAAAGAAGACACAACCTCCCCTCCCCACACACTGCAAGCCCTCCATGCCACCCTCCAGCCAGCTACTCCAATGCCCACCTGACACGACAGCCAGCAGATCAGCATACCGCCAAACCATCAAGCCAATGTCAGCAGCCCTAGCCCGCCTGTCCATGAGAGAGAAGCATGCTGCAACCAGGTACTCGCACCTAGGCCGACAAACTGCCCCAGGCCGAGCACACCTACCACCGGCTCCAGTGCAGGTACAAAATCTGCTCCAACACCCCACCCACTCGACCACGACAGCAGCCTGGCAGTAGTAAAATAGGGGTGTTTTCCTTTAATACAAAGACAACCAGCCTGGCACTTAGAGGTGTGCAGCCTGACTTTTTTTATTTTCAATCTAAATAACGCATATTTTTAATTTTTTTTTATTATGTTATAGTGTGTGTAGAAAAAAAAATCATTTTAAACATTTGTGGTTTGTTTTTTTTTACCCGATTTCCTCTGTTCAGCATGCAGGAGAGTCTGTCCTTGAGTTCATACCAATTCTCTTTCAATTCAGCTTAGAATCCTCCTGTGAATTTCCTCTTGTCTTCTTTTTTTTCCCTTATTCGTCGTGCACACATCAATTAGTCTAGTTGATGTGGGACACTAAAGAGTAGCACCCTTTCTACACATCTTTCTTTGTGAAATGAAGAAAAAGCCCAAAAGCAATTAATGCAGAGTTTAGGAATTATCTGTAACCTTAACAGATTGCCCCTATTGTGCTGGAAAAAAATTGTTTGAAAAAAAATCATGGTGTACATTTCTGCAGTGTTAGTAATCTACCCAAAAGTTATTTTCATGAAGTGTGCAGATGCATCCTTAGAGATCTATCTTAATTGCAAAATTCCTGCTGGAACAGCCCTAAATCATACTGCAGTTATACGGTTAAACAAAGCTAGAGATTAATGATGGATAAAAAAAATCTTCTTTTGTCTTTCTAGATAATTAAGATATACAAAAGTAGGCTGCCTGTAGCTTCATCTTTTAAATGAACCACTATGGTTTGTTTTATATGTCCTCGTTCCATCCATGTGAAGGGATGTTTCTTTGGATTACAAAGATCTTTGTAGTCCACTCTTTACATAACTTCTTGAAATGTAGTCATGCTTTGACAACTTGAAATGAATGAGTTTAGTACAGTACGTCATGCCTATGTTTATTTGACCTTTCTGTGCAAAAAGGTTTGTGTTTTCTGATTGCATTAAATAAATATTTGAATAACTCTTCCACCACAAAATGAACTCAGCTTTATAACATCACACAAAATTTTTCAGTGTATCCCACACTTGTCATTTCTCTCTATTATTCCCTTTAAATAATATTTGCACTCCCTTAAGGTTTCAGTCTCACTTACACAAACACTGTAAGAGACTTAAGCATTTTGATTTAACTAAACTTACGGCCCCACCGCCTTCCTTTTATTCCACAAATTCACCTTTAGACTAACTCAATATGAGTAGGGAGCACATATGTTACACCTTCAGACGTCTGTTTGTACAGTTTATTAAAAACATCAGACTGTGGCCATTGGTATTCTCCCCACCTTTGACTGCATTTTCATCTTTGAGTTTGGAGTTTCCAATTCATGCTCAGTACGCATATTCTTGTGCACCTTTTCAGCCACTTGTCTATGGCATTCCTCTGCTTGAATCTGTTACATTCTGTTATAACATACTGGACTTTGTCAGAGGTATATTTATACAGCCTTCAACTTGGGTCCTGTTGGATTTTAGAACTTGGCTGCAATTGCTATACTGCATCCTCTTTACTCCTGCAGTCCAGCCTTTTTTATTGACTGTTATGATTTCTCAATATAAGCCTCTGTTGCAATCTGTTAATGTCAGATTCAGTGTAGGGGTATATCCTTCCATTATGGTTCCTCTTGTTTCAACTGTTCTTCATGTTCCACTTGTGCTTTATCTTTCAGGATTTATGTTGTTTTACGTAATGTCTGATAATACATTAGGTCTTGAGGTCTCAGGCTGGGCACTCTCAAGCCACAACCTTGAGAGTGATAAAAAAAAAGGCAAGGTATAAAGGCCTGAATGTGCAAAGCTACAAACTGAGGGATGCCATATATGGAAGGTGTGTGCCTTTAGAAAAGACTATGCTTAAAGTTCCTCACCTCCTCCATCA